GTCCTTCTCAGAGCAACTGATGAGTCAAATTTAATGTAACTAACTTTGTTGATTGTTTTCTCAATATTTTGTTGCCAAAAAGAGGTTCTCCTATCTCCTTCCCATCTTTGCTTCCAGTCTCAGATCATTTAATTAGCAAAGCCCAAAGGTTCACATGTTTGAAATGCAGCTTTAAAAAAACATAAAAAACCAGAGAAGGATCACAACTGTTTTGAAATCATTTTCACAAAAGGATGTTTATTACAGGCTAGTGCTTTGGGTCTTTTCTGCACTCAGAATGACACATAAAAGCAGTTCCCCTCTTTTATATGTCAAAACAATACATAGTTACGGATCTCTTTTTGTTTTTTCTTACTCTTTGATTTACTGTGGAAAAAAATCTCTAGGAAGTATGCAGCACTTGGAAAACACGATTTTTCATTGGTTTGTTTGCTGTTCATTTGTTGTTTTGGACCCAACTTCTGGAATTCCCAATCAAGCATGTCCAATGGCCAGGAACTAGAGTGTCCATATTTTGGCCATTTCTGGGATTCGGTGCAACTTGTAGAAAGTGAAAATTTGGCCCCTAGGACCAATCCATTTGCCTACCCCATCTTAAGGAATTATGTGCGAGGAGAACCTAACACGCTCTCAGCTTCTAGATGCAAAGCCGCCATCTTACTGTATGTAGGTTAACTTTCCATGTTCCCTTTGCCTTTTACCTGTTGGGATGTTCCTTGTGCTTGACATCCAGATACTTCAATGTGGCAATGAACGACTGCGCTTGGAACCCCCGGGCTGTTCCAGCTACCACTGGCGTATGGCAGATGGCGCTGTCGGTCCCAATGGTGACGATGTTGCTTCTCAGTGGGGTGCCTGCATGGCCAACCTTATCTACAGCTTTGGCTACACAACGTATGTGGAATCGACGGCTGAAGTAGATGCTGTCTAGCACCTAGAAAGAACAAAATAAGAACAAAACACAAGGAACATTTGAGGTCTGGGCCCCAGAACTGATGAAGCATCATGCTCTTCTCAATACCTCTGTCTGCACTTCTGTACACCTGGTTGCCTGGCTACCTACCCACCCACCCACATACATAGATCTGCCCATCTATCTATCCATCTATCTATCCATCTATCCATCTATCCGTCTATCCGTCTATCCGTCTATCTATCATCTATCATCTATCATCTGTCTATCTGTCTATCTATCTATCTATCTATCCATCCATCCATCCATCCCTCCCTCCCTCCCTCCCTCCCTCCCTCCCTCCCTCCCTCCCTCCCTCCCTCCCTCCCTCCCTCCCTCCCTCCCTCCCTCCCTCCCTCCCTCCCTCCCTCCCTCCCTCCCTCCCTCCCTCCCTCCCTCCCTCCCTCCCTCCCTCCCTCCCTCCCTCCCTCCCTCCCTCCCTCCCTCCCTCCCTCCCTCCCTCCCTCCCTCCCTCCCTCCCTCTATCTTGTTGTTAAAATATCTTCATCGTCTCTCTGCTAATCTGTCTGGAAAGCTCAGTGAGTTAGGTATCTGACTGCAGAGCTGGCAGTTCAATTCCCCGCTGGACCTCCTTTGAATACAGCCAACCTCGGTGGCCTTGGGCAAGCTGCACAATCCTGGGGCGCCCCCGGAAGGAAGGAATAGTAAACCACATCTGTGAATTCTCTACCTAGAAAACCCTAAAAAGTTTCTCCACAAATCAGAATGGACTTGATTGCGCACAACTATTTTAATTGATGTCTGCTAACATTGAAAGACACTTAACTATATAATTGACCTATATAAAACAAGTATAAAAAAAGAAAGGAAACATAGCAAGTTCTGTCCTCTACAGCTTACATTTTAACCCAGAGGAGGGACAAAAGAGCAGACAAATAAACAGAATAGCAATGTGCAATTATTTCAGTTATGCATTCTCAGCCCAAGTCATAGCTTCTCTAACAAGAGGGTGCACGTAGCTCGTGTCATGAAGAAGACATAATTTCATTCATTTCCACATTTCGAATTTCATATGCCATCATTTTTATTTGCCCATATTTTAGTTCACAAGGTACAGTAAAAGCAAACAATATGTTTTGTTTTAAAAAAAGAGAAGAAAGCGAGTGAATCATGGCATGGCAACCACATCCCCTTCATTTGTATGCTGGAGAAGCAGAGTCGGCCAAAGGTAACCCCTTTGATTCTGCTCTGCCTCCGTACCTACCATGTGATTGACGCTGGTAAATGGTGTGTTGTCTGTAATGGTCTCAAAGGGAGACCTGGCCCCATTTCCGTCGGTTGGGGTAGCAACTTCCCAATTGAACTGTATGGATGACTGGTTGATCCCGGCCTCGTTGCAGCGCTCCTTCATAATGGAGTACTTTGGAAAGTGAGGGTCACACGGGGTCACACAGACCAGTGGGTAGCCGGGAGAAGGAGATTTCTTTGCACCCTCTTTGGTTTCTTCTTCTACATGGTCATACTCAGAAAGTGTAACTACCTGGAGGAACGACAATGAAAATATTGAGACTCTACAAAAGGGACCCATCATCACTCTTCTACCTTGCAATTTCTTTTTAGGATGTATCCACATGTGGTCAGTGCTAATTCTCCCAACCTTAACATTTTCATGTAATACTGACCATACAACATGATTACGTTTCAACCCAACATACCTTGGCTTGGATCTGCACATCAGAAGAATGAAATGTTACAATCTTGAGGTGATAGAAGAGATTATGCCATTTGAGGCTGCAAATGACAGACATCGCTTTTTCAAATGATTTCTACAGTCTTTTTAAAAATCCCTTCAAGTAGAAATCTAGCACCTCAGGGATAATCATTCTAGCCCAGCCTATTCTTTCCTATGCTTGTTTCATAATGACAGTTTTATTTACAAGGTAAGCAGTAAACAAAACAAAAAAACACCAAAAAACAAAGTGGCTGTATTGCACTAGAGGAAGACAACAAAATCCAGAATCTACAGGACAGCAATGCCTTTAGGAAGATTAACTATACATTCACAAATGTATAGTTTCTGAGCTCTGCAAAATTCTTTATTAGGCTAGGTGTTAAAAAAGAATAGCCCCTAGATGGGGTCAAATGGCAGTCCAAAAATCTAGGCAGGTATCTTTAGCCACAAAGATCTGCAACTGAATTTAGTTCAAAGACAAAGAGGGTTTAGCTGTGCAGGAAAAACTGAAAATATCCTAGTGTCTTGAAGACTAACATGTTGGAGTGGCAGAAGGTTTTGTGAATGGCAGCCCACTTTCTTCAAATGTATCTAAAGAGGTAGGTGGGCTCCTTTCCCCAAATCCTTAAGCTCACTAAAGCATATTAGTATTTAAGATGCTTTTTTTATTGTTCAAGATGGATACCCTCCGCCTGATGATCCAGAGAGTCACACAGGGCCATGGAGCCTCTGGCAACGCCCCCTGAGCTGAAGGCAACATGGAGATTTCCCCTCTCTGTAAACATAAAGATCAACAAGGTAATGGTAAAGGTTTCCCTTGACATTCCAGTTGTGTCCAACTCTAGGGGGCAGTGCTCATCCCCATCTCCAAGCCATAGAGCCAGTGTTTTGTCCATAGACAGTTTCTGTGGTCACGTGGCCAGCGCGGCTAGACACGGAATGCTGTTACCTTCCCACTGTGGTGGTACCTATTTATATACTTGCATTTTTTACATGCGTTCAAACTGCTAGGTTGGCAGGAGCTGGGACAAGCATCAGGAGCTCACTCCATCCCGTGGATTCGATCTTACGACTGCTGGTCTTCTGACCTTGAAGCACAGAGGCTTCTGTGGTTTAACCTGCAGCACTACCACATCCCACATTAACCTGAAGATCAGCAAAAGACATCCCTAATGGCAGTTTGGAATGGTACACTCCATTCTGTCACTCCGTTCGTACTCCTCTTTCGGCCACGCTCATGCCCCATCCAAAAGCATCATAGGACAACTCTAACACGATCATTCAAGGCTAAGCCACTCACAACAGGAGGTCCTGGCAGGATGAGACTCCCAGCTGCTTCTTGGTCCAGAATGGTGACTATGGTAGTGGTGATCTCCCCCAGGACCGCTTCAACTGGATCATCTGGGCCCAATACCAGGGAGAACGACTCGTGCCACTCCCTATCTTCATTGGACATGATTTCCACCTTAAATATGATGTGGTCCATGCCTGTATGAAAAAGACATGGGAGAGGGTTAATTCAAGCTAACTGGTCAACTGATGGGACAAACAATGCTTTCACAAAGTTCGGACCCACTAAAGCAACACCAGTGATTAGAAACAAGCACTCGTTTATCTTAACCCCTTTGGTTTATGTGTTTTAGCCAGGGAGCCTTAAATATATATGTACCACAGTTTGATGGACTGCTTGGTCGATTTACTAGCAGGTGTCATGGAAGGATTAATGGTGCCTATCTGACTTTCATAAAAACCTATGATCCAAAATATTGCTCCCCTAGTCTTGCTGCGAGGCCCTTCTGTTTTGATCCTTCATAATAAAAACAGAAACGTTGGTTTTGTGAGATTTTCTGTCAAGTTTTAAAAGATTTTTTTACAGACACCTGCTTTGTAAGAGGGCTTGTGAAACAGGAAAAGCTTTGAACTGGCCTTAGGGAAAATGGGATCCGTGTAAGTGCTGTGGGGTTGGAAAGAGAAGGAAGAAATGAAGAAAGAGAAGGTAGCAAGACATTAGATAGGTACATCTAAGCCAGGGTATCATAGTGGATAGAGTGTCAGACTAGGACTCAAGAGATCTGGGTTCAAATCTCTGCTTGGTCATTAAAACTTACTGAGAGTGGTGATGGAAAAGCCACTCCTTAAATATCTCACGTACAGTCATTCCCCGCTGGACGATTACTCCAGACTACGACAAATCCACATTACGTCGACATTTTTGCAATCACTTTTGCAATTGCAAAACAATGTTTTAAATGGGGGAATTTCGCTTCACGTTGATCGGTTCCCTGTTTCCGGAACTGATTTTTTGCTTTACAAGGATCAGCAAACAGCTGATCGTCAGGTTTCAAAATGGCCGCTGGCTTTCAAAATGGCCCCCTGCTGTTTTCTAGGATGGATTCCTTGCTATACAGGCACCAAAAATGGCCACTGTATGGAGGATCTTTGCTGGACAAGCAGGTATTCGGCCCATTGGAACGCATTAACCAGGTTTTGATGCGTTTCAATGGGTTTTTTCATTTTGTTTGACAATGTTTTCGCTCTACAGCGATTTTGCTGGATCGAATTAACATTGTCAAGTGAGGCACCACTGTAATGTGAAAAACCCATTAGGGTCACCAGAGGTCAGATGTGACTCGATGACACATAACTGCATAACAATAACTTCTGAGCTAAGGAGCAGAGAAGGATCATGGAAAAAAGGAAAGGCAGAATTTATGTATTCAAAAAAGGTGGGGTTTTTTTTTTGTTTGATTGTTTGTTCATCTGTATGGACCAGAACAGCCGTAATCTCACTTGCCAGCTAGCCATGATGATGGCTAGCAGAGAGATCCTGGCAGCTGTAGATCACAAAATAGAATTTTTCCAAGTTCTGCAAACAGGTTAGGAAAAAAGGATGACACAAAGGCTGGAAACAGGAGGCTGTGGAGATGCTTCAACTCTTTTCAGTGCCCAGGATGTCAACAGGAGAGACACACCAACCCACCACTAATCCTCTCCCTGAAACAAATGGGACATTAATGTTACAGCAATCCTAAATCCACTTTGCTAGGAAGAAAAACTATTTGAAACTGGCCTTCGGGGTCCAAAAATGCAGGTTAGGAATGTTTAGTGACAGTGAGTGGTTTTACGGGGCATAGCAAGGACAACCAGCTCAGATGTTGACGGCTGATTTCTCAAACTGGCCTGCATATTCAATTTTATTGGCTTTAGATATGTATTTCTCAGTTTGCACCCTGCTTTGTACATGGTTTTCATTACTACAGAAGGTGCACAAAGTAAACAAACTAGGTAAACAACAACACACTCATTTTAATGGCTAAAGAAAGGAGATAGAATGCATCTGGGGTTTTTTTGGATTGTAATTCCAACATCCCACAGGCAGCACGATCACTAAGCATTGCTGGTTGTGTGATTTTGGAAGTGGTAATAAAAAAAATAAAATAAAAATGGATCCCACCTCTAGTAAAGAGCAGCTGAAATCCAGTTGTGCAGTTAAACAAACTTTTAGAAACAAATGGCCTTAGACATGATCCGTTGCCCATCGAGTGGTGTACTCTGTGAGCAAATGATAATTCCTATGGAGATTTCTTAATTTGTGGCCATTTGTGTCTAAAGGTTACATTGTTTACATAAGTGTGCAACAGGATTTCAGCCAACATCTGGTAATATAGATCCAGATCCTCCAGGTCATTACGTCTACTTTCTGTGCTTTACCAGGGCTGAACTTGAGGACTCGACTCTTCGGATAGTAATCAATTCCAGACTGAGCTGAACCGTCCCGGGTGCTGCAACGAACTTTAGAAGTCCTGTTCTGGTCACCTCTTCGGATCACCTTGACATTTAAGAAGGCGATACCCTCAGGCCCAGGAGGTTCCCGGACTTGGTAGGCGGCCTCGTCAAACTCAATCGTGGGGGCTGGAAAGATGGAAGAAGGGAAGAGAAGAGTCCCAGATCACCAACATGTCTATATTCAAGGTGAAGGACACTTTGAGTTAAGATGCAATCCTATGTTCGGTGAGCAAGCCTCACTGAACTCAGTGGGACTTCATTCTGAGAAAATATCTTAATCCATGAAGTTATTCTTGAGACACAAAAAGATTATTTTACAGCAGTATAATGAAACAGCAGCGATATCTGGCAGGCTGTGCTAAAATGTAACAGCATTTGACTTATCACGCCACGTTAGCTCAAACTGGGATTATCTGTATCCCTCTTTTTCTGCAATTGCTGTGTTCAAATTAAAGTATTTTCTCAACAAGATCAAAGGATTTTGGAGACTCCTGAGGAAAAACATTTGGGATTTCCCCCCCTCCCCAACTGAAAAGAAATACAACTGTTGAGGACACTGATGGGGATTTCCAAAATTAAATTATGTACAGTGTGGAGATAGAGCTGACTCAATACATTTTGCTGCCTGAGGCAAAGGGCAAGGAGCCTCCTCTTCCATCTCTGTGTATAGAAGCTGACCATTACATTGGCAACTGAACCATATTTCAGCAGTGGTGATGGAAACTCCATGAGGGCAGCATGCTAGTACGTGAGATGGAGCATAAGCCACAAGACCAAAGTCATTATTTTCCTCTGACAGAAAGAAATGGCTGGGAAGCTCAAGAGGAATCCTTTGAGACTCTTGCCACTTTGATCATATATCTGGCTCTGAAATATATCTAAGGCTGACACATTTTTAAATTCAGGCCAACTTTCCTTACCATCTTCATCATTGGAGATGACAATGGTAGCCATGCGGTTCTTCCCCACGGTAGCCCCGCTCCAGTGATTTCCAAGAGGGTGGCTCAGATGTATTTGGAATTTCTCCTCTGGTTCAAACGCAGAGTCATCATTGATTAAGACAGTGCAGTTCTTCACCTAGAGTTGAAGACACCACCACGGAATGACTAGAAGCCAACTTGGGAGATTTCTTTCTTTAAAAAATGATTGTACAGTGGTGCCTCGCTGGACGATGATAATCCGTTCCACTGAAATCGCTGTTTAGCGAAATCATTGTCTAGCGAAAAGCATTTCCCCATTGGAATGCATTGAAACCTGTTTAATGCATTCCAGTGGGGAAGAATCATCGTTGTCTAGTGAAGATCGGCCATAGGAAAGCCGCTTTGCAAACCGCCAATCACTGTCTTGCGAAGCTTAGGTCCCGAAAACACCTGTTTTGCGAGCGCGGAGGGAGCTGTCAAAATCATCATCTAGCAAAAATCGGTTTGCGAAGCAGGGACCAAACATTGTCCAGCGAAATTCCCCCATAGGAATCAGAATCACTGTTTTGCGAATCACTATAGCAATCGCAAAAAGTCAATGTCTAGAGAAAAAACTCATGCGGGGTAACTGTCTAGCGAGGCACCACTGTATCTCGTTTTCCCAGTGAAATGCTCAAAGGGCCTCACACAATGCAATAATAATGAAAGACAAACCAGAAATAATAATACTCAGAAAGAAAAAAAAGGGGAAAGATACAGCAGATAAAATGACTTTAAACCATATTTATTTATATCTCTCTCGATACCGCCACCTTTCCTTCCCAACAGCCAGGGCAGCTAACCACTAAACGTGAATCACAGCACAACACACAAAGCTAGACACCTAGAGATTAGAATCTTCAAGAGGAGGGCACCATCAAAACAGAAAGCTGTCTTCTGACAGTGCTTCAAATGCTGGGCTGTCCTCCCTTAAAAAGAAGACATGGCCACCCTACCCACAGCCCAACCTCCTGGTCACTGGGTGGCAAAGAGACAAAAGAGGGCTTTTGCTTAATTCAGCCAAATCCTGGCTTGCAATATCATTACGGGCAATACCCATAGCAGGAACTCAACAGAAGAATGAGCATGTATCCATAACATCTAGTGGCTTCAATCATTATTAGTTGTATGCGAACTGGGATCAGACTAATAATGATTGAAGCCACTGGATGTTATTTTGCCCTAATTTGATTTCTTTTTCTTCTCCTTCTATAAATTGACAATGTTATGTATTATTTTGCTTGTATACAATGACAGGCGGTGACATATTGCAGTAGGCAATTTAAATTAAAATTAATTCGCATAAGAGGTGATGGCAGGACATACAAAGGCAATAATCAGTAGTTGTTCCTAATGGAAAACCAAGTAAGAAATAGCAATTTAGCAATTTCTCTGAGGCCAAGGAAGGAGAATCTTTCTTTCTGCTTCTGCTTTCTTAACAGGCACTCCAGGGTAACCTTTGGGGGGGGGGTCACATCCCTGGGAGACGGTTCTGAGGCCAGCAGTGGCAGAGGAGCAAGAGACATCTGAGGAAACCACGCTTTTTCCTTTGTTTCCTCAGACTTCTGTCTCTTTTTCTAAGACCTCTCCCCCCTCTCCTTCCCACACTTCCTCCAAGTCGGATGATCTACTTCCTCAAAAGACAGATGTCACTCACCCATGTCTTAAGGTCAAAGTACAGTGGTGCCCCGCATAGTGAGCACCCCGTTTAATGACAAATCCGCATAGCGATGCAGATTTTGCGATCACAAAAGCGATCGCATTGTGACGTTCTCAATGGCCAAAAGTCACATTGTGATGATCGGTAAGCATTTCGCTTACCGATCTTCGCATTGCGATGTTTTAAAAACAGCTTATCGGCGGTTCCAAAATGGCCACCGGAAGAAAAATGGCCACCTACAGTGTTTTCGCGCAGTTTCCCTCGCATACCGGGCAGCGAAAATGGGCATTAAACGTGTTTTAATGCGTTCCTATGGGGTTTTTAGTCCCGCATAGTGACGAATCCGGATAGCGATGATTTTTTCAGAACGGATTATCGTCACTATGCGGGGCACCACTGTACATAAAATGCTCACTTTGTATTTTGAAGCTGGTAGCATTTAAACTATTGGAGAGGCATTTCTCCCTGAGTTGCACACCTGGGTGGAAATTTATCTCCCAATGAGCAATCATAAAATGAAGGCAGTTAATTTGAGGGGATGAGAAAAGCTCACACCAGGATGAACAGACTCCATTTGACACTTAAGAGAGGTATGCTTTTAAATGCAGAGCTGAACATCCAACTGAGCTTGACCCTGAACACTGACATCTTCACAAGGGGTTTGATGTTTGGTCAAGGGAGCACACAGTGCACACTCCAGTCTCAGACAATTCCTCTTGGCCAACTGGAGTCACTCACCTTCTCCCCTTTCAGAAACGTGAGACGGGACTCCTCAGCATTCTTCCTTTCCTCAAAGTCCTCCATGACTCTGGCTGTCTGACTCTGAGTAGAACATCTGACAGAGGACTCATAGCTCAAGTCTCCAGTACGGATGATCGGAACATGCAGGATCCCATCTGTCTCTTTCACTGGGTATAACTCTTTGCTAAATTTCATATTTGGCACTGTACAAGTCAGAACAACAAGGGGAAGAAACACAGGTTCTGCAAAACTGTGGGCAGCAGCACAATTAGATGGAAGCAGTTTGGATTTAATGTTTTCAGAAATAGAAACAGCCCCCATTTTTTTTCTCTTTGTTCTTTCCGTTCTTTTAAGAGGGACTCTAAGTAGAACCTAAAACCACCACGTGATAGAACACAGCCCAGTATCGTGTGACCCATGGTCAAAAAGTTATTTATAAATAGTACAAAGGAGCAAATGCCCCACAGCCCCATGGATCAGGGATGGTCTTAACAGACTGAGTCACATGTCTCAAGTGGTATATACTGGGGGCAGAAGTGGTAGCCCCATAGCTCTATCTCCTGAGATCAATGACCATTTCTCCATGACCTCCATCTACTCTAAACAAGCCTCTTGTTCTTACACAGGGGTGCTGGAAGATGCCATGATGCTGCCTACGTTCAAGTGAGAGCTGACCCATACCAACCAGTCCAGCTGGCTTCAGTAAGGAGTGCTGTCCCTCTGCCTCAACCAACAAGGGACTATCAACCCTTAGCCTCCAAAAAAATTGGGCTACAGATGGACGCCTGCTTTTTGGGAGGAAAGCGATGACAAACCTCAACAGCATCTTTAAAAGCAGAAACATCACCTTGCCGACAAAGGTCTGCACAGTCAAAGCTATGGTTTTTCCAGTAGCGATCTGTCCTTCCAATGAGCACTCAGGGTTGATTTCCCTCAGAATGGATAGGTTTGATCTCCTTGCAGTCCAGGGAACTCTCAAGAGTCTCCTCCAGCACCACAATTCAAAAGCATCAATTCTTCGTTGGTCAGCTTTCTCTATGGTCCAGCTCTCACTTCCATACATCACTACAGGGAAAACCATAGCTTTGACTATTTGGACTTTTGTTGGCCAGTTGATGTCTCTGCTTTTTAAGATGCTGTCTAGGTTTGTCATCGCTTTCCTCCCAAGAAGCAGACGTCTTTTAATTTCATGGCTGCTGTCTCCATCTGCAGTGATCATGGAGCCCAAGAAAGTAAAATCTGTCATTGCCTCCATATCTTCCCCTTCTATTTGCCAGGAGGTGATGGGACCAGTGGCTGTGATCTTAGTTTTTTGATGTTGACCTTCAGACCATTTTTTGTGCTCTCCTCTTTCACCCTCATTACGAGGTTCTTTAATTCCTCCTCACTTTCTGCCGAAGAGTCAGACACGACTAAACGACTAAACAACAACAACACAGATAGACTCCTAGCTACCTTTATTAAGGGATTCACAGATCCACTTACCGTCTTGGAACGTGTCATTAATGGCAACTGTGGCTTGAAAAGGCTTGGCCAACTTAGCTGCTTGCGG